TTTTTTTTTTTTTTCTTTGATCATTCAATCTTGATGAAATTTTTAGAAGAGATGTATATCGAGTTAACATAGCTCATAGTAATAATTTTAACTGGATACAATGAATTTTCCAAGAGTTAGTTTAAGATTATTGATCAAAATATAGGACTCTGTGCGTCTTCAGTTCATCCACACTTGTTCTTTCTAAACTTTCAATATTATATTTTTACATGGCTATGACGGATATGAATCACAGAAAATATAGTAGAATAAATGTTTCTTAGTTTCTCACGAGAAATGATCGGGTCTAAAAAGATTTGATCCCGATCATGACTTTGATAAACCTAATCTGACTCCAGCGTCGGTGACTTTAGTTTTTTCTTTGAATCCCAGTCCTGGTCTAGAGAAAGCTATTCCAGAAATTAATAGTATTACATCTTTAAAAAAATCCTTGAATATTCGTTTTGGATTTATGCAATCGACGACTAGGATTTTTTTCATTCATCTCTCTTGAATTATGTTTTAATTGATAAGACAATTTATTTAAAATAATAAAATTTTTAACTATAATATTTAGTTCCAGCTAGGACGACTTTTTTCTTGTAGTCTCAATGACCAGAACCGGGACTAAAGTTGATTCCGTACATTTCTATTTCTTACTCTTATCTCTCTATATATGTTTCTTCAATAGTAAATATTCATTTCCAATAAATTTCTCGAAGCATATGCTAGTTAACCATTGTACTTTTCGTAAGCAATCGAAAGACATTTTTGAAATGAAAGTAACATTTCTCAACTGATAAGACAACTACCGAAACGAATAGTCGTCGTTTGAGTTTATATTGGATCCGCAAGGAGGCCTCAATAATATTAGAATAATTCTAAAAGGATTCATATCCATGGACCTTTGAAGCTGAGTTACGATCAGTTTTTTTATCCAGCTTTAGCTATGTACCGAAAAAGACGTCCCTTTGCCGAGATATTGAATTTCCAAAAAAAAAATGATTGTTTACCACAAAAATCGAGTTTACTAGAAAATTCAATAAAACGATTATAACTCAGCTTCAGAGACTCATGGACATAAAGCCTTTTGAATTTTTCCAGTCCTAGCGAGACCTTATTATGAATCCCATACGAGTTTTAACGACAGGAATTAATTCGGATAGTTTCTTCGTGAGTTTTGAATTGTTTAGAAGAGTTTTTCAAACTTCAAAAGTGATGTTCAATTGTAAAAATAATTGTATTTCAGAAACTATTAAGAGCTAACACGTCAATATCACATTGTATACAGAGGAGACTCAAGATTACAAGAATTCAGGAAAAGACGCCTAAGCTATGAACGTAGTCATTTATTGATTCAAATTACAAATTCATTATTTTTTTTCTTTGTTCTTTTCGAAATTCAGGCTTATCAAATTGATAGTGAACATGGTTTATCAAATGATCCAATTGGTGCTGATCGTTATCGTTTAGATATTGATTTAGGCAAAATTACATTTGTTCATCATCATTTAATGAGTATGGAATATGTATTAGCAATGAGAATGAAACAAATGTATGAATGTTATACTGTTCGAAGGCAACAACTTATTGTTCAACAACTTTCTGAGAAAGTTAGTCAATTTTTATAATAATAATATTTTTTTTTTTTTTTGTGAAGAAAACTAAAGAATAATCTTGTTTTTATTCATATAGATTAAAGCTCTTAAAAGTGCTGAAAGTAATTGTCGAACATTATATGAACAAAATAAAGTAAAATTTTTTTTTTTGTCTTGATCTTCAAAATGAAAAAAAAAAACTCTTTTTACTATCTATAGTATGCTGATTCACCAGAACCAAAAGAATTTTATGATCGATTAGTTAATTATCAAAATGAACTTCGGTATGAAATGATTCTTTTATAAATAATTAAAAAAAAAAATTCTTTATATTTTCTTTTTTTATTATTATAGTCAAGCTCGTAATCAACGTTGTAATGAAATGAAACTTGATCGAGATTTACTTAAACATTTATTAGATGTTTGGAAAGAAATAAAAGATATTCGTCGTGCGAATGGTTATACAACAACATCTGTTAAACTTATTATAAAACAGTAATTTTTTGTTTCTATTTTACTTTTATTGATATATATATATATTTTTTTATTAAATAAGAATATCAGGCAAGAAGACAAAACATTATGAACAAATACAACAACAAATTGAAGAAGAAATTGAAGATGAAATAACTTTAGCTGATGAACAATATCAACGAGAAAAAGAAGCTCATACAAAAATAGTTCGAAACAGAAAATTACAAGAAACACGAAAAGTAAATTTTGTTTTTTGTCGATTTATAAATAAATTTTTTATTTTTTATTTTATTATAGAAAGAAGCAAAAAAACGTTTAGATAAAAAACGAGCTGCAGCATTAACATCAGACAATGTTGACGGTGATTATGATCAAGTAAATATAAAAAACAACAAAATAAATTCATATATTGATTTTAATATATTCAAAGAATGATATAACAATTATTAATGAAGAAGATATTTATGTACCAGAAAAACCAGAACCACGTAAACGAGATGAAATTCGAACAACCATATTAACGAAATATCAAAATGCTATTCGACCTCCAGGTAGAAAATATTATAAATTTATTTACATACTACTATTCTTTACAATGTTGAATTAATATATATAATCTTTCTCGTGTAATCATTAGAGTCCATCGGGTTCAAAATTGTCGAACCGTACATTGATCATATGAATGAAATTTCCTAATTGAATTGTCATCCGGAAGACATGAGATACTTTTTTCTGATTTGAGTAGCGCATCCTACACATTTCTCAGACGACTAGTGCTCGTCAGATGAAAAATTTTTAGATTCAGATTAACTCGATGCTCTAGTTTGAATTTTATTAGAAATCACTTTTAAAATAACTAAGTTATTATTTTCTCATTAAGGATGTCTGTTCAAACAATAGTATTTGTTAGGAGTTTATCATTCGCTTTTTTTTTTTAATTCATTGAAAATAACATTTTGAAATATATAAATCAATCAAATTATTATAATATCTTAGATGAACCTGAATTTCTTCTTGAACTTGTTTATTCCGAACCAATATCAACTGATTCTGAATGTAGTGCGTAAGTATTATTTAATTATTTCAATATAATTATTAAATAAATATTTTTTCTTTTCAGACGTGAACGAGCACGTCGACATAGTGTTCAAAATTCATCAGATATTTTTGCTCGTATTGTGATTAATGGTAAAATAATGGCTGATACACCAAAAATGTATGAATAATATTTCATTGGTTTTTTGTTTTTCAAAAATAATTTCGTTTTTTTTTTTAGACAATTGACAAATGAATTTGAAGGACATTTTGGTCGAATTTTTCCATGTTATGTTGTTCGTACACCGGAAATAATTAAAATTGAATTTTATGAAGTTTCAACACGTTTTCGTTCATCATTAGCTGAAGTTTATTTATCTATACCAGAATCAACTGTAACAAGTGAAAATTATCAATTACAATCAATTGAATTTAGTTCAAATGTATTAAGACAATTTAATCCAAATCAAACAACAGCTGTTGGTGCTGGCATTCCTTCACCAATACAATTTGCTGATTCTTTATCTACTTATCTAAATATTGAAGGTGTTTTAAATGCAGGTGTAGCATGGGGTGTACAAGATGATGTTGTACTTGTACCACCAGATTATACAACATCAAAAGCATTTCTAAAGTAATATTTCGATAATTTTGAGTAAAAATGTTCTCTTTTTTGTTTATTTAAAAAAAAAGTCAGAAAAATTCGAATACGTTAAAAGTATCAAATTTCGCTTGACTTGATATTTATTCAATATTGTTTTCTGGTTTTATTCATCCAATGATTAGGAAAAAAGCTATGTGCGTTTTTTGTTTTTGAAAAACATCGTTCGAAAAAACCGATTAGCAAAGCACCATAAATACGAATACATATTTTGCATCGATTTGTATACTCAATACTTAAAAAAATTTTTCGTCAAATTTTGATCGTTTCATCTTCTTGCACTGGTTTTTTTTACGAATCATCGAATTTGTAGATTTTTCTAAGATCGAAATTTGTATTGAGAATACTATTCTCTATGTAGATGTTTTTGTTGATTCTAAATATGTACCCATATTTATGGTGTTTTGCTAATCGGTTTTTTTTGAACAATGAAACAATATTTTTCAAAATGCATACATAGATTTCTTTCTAATCATATGACGAGTAAAATAAAGAAAAAAACGAAATTAGATGGCACATAGACTAAGCTCATGGTACGAAGCACATCCTCCATTTTTGAAATTATAGCTTTCTTGTTTTTTTTATCTAATCAATGAAAAACAGACAAGCATTGTAAGCCTTTTAACAATGCTTAATTAAATCAGTTATATTAATGTATAATCATAACGATTTAAGTTTCGTTTAAAATATAACACTGCAGGAAAACACCGAATACTTTCCTACTCGGAATGCTGTTTTCGAGTTCCTACTATTTTCTCAAGTATTTTTTGGGCAAGAATCTGCTGGAAATTCACGGATCTTGACGCCGAAATCATTGACTTGGAGGATGGAAACTTCGAAAGGTGACATCAATATTCGATCTGATGAAACTCGTTTTCATTATCTCGAAAAACAAACTAGAGTTCTGATTTCAAAATCGTCATTTTGTGAAATGAACGGAACTTTGTAACAACATTTGAACAAAAATCATCTGACTCTCCGAATTTTAGATCATCGGGATATAAAATAATGATTTCGAGTTATGTATGGAGAAAAAAAAAACTCTCGACCGACTACTCTCTAGTGTTTTGCACCATAAAAATTCGAATAAATATTAAGAGTTCTCCTAAGTTTCGCTACATAAAACACAATTTATATACATCGACGAGCTCTATCCAACCATGACAAACAAAAATTTTGCTCAAATTTCGAATTACTATCATCGTTAAATAAAATATTATCAAAACTATGATATATTTTTTCTAGTCGACAAATGGGTGGTGGTGTTCAACAAGATATAAATATGCAAGCAATTAATTTAAGTGATATGAAAAGTTTAATTGAATGGATAAAACAATCAAATCTTGATCCATATGATCCTGAAAATGCTTTTCTTATTAATCTTATGAAAGTATGATTAACAATCGAAATTAAAAAAAAAAAAAAAAGAACAATTTCTTTTCATTGATTTAATATTTAGGATTATAGAAATTCACGTGGTGATACAAAATTGGAAATGAATGCTTTACAACATTTTCGTTTATCAATTGATGAAAATGATGAAATTGAACAAAATCAACAAATGAATATTGATAATTCATTAAGATTTAAATTATTACAAGCAAGAAAAGAAAATTTACCAGAATTTAAAGATTTTAGATATGTACCAACACATGATTATCTTGTAAAAAAAAAATATGGCATTTTTAAAGTAAATAAAAAATTTGAACAAATTTTTATTTAAGTCATATAAATGATAGACTTTTTTTAAAAATATAAATCAATATCTTGTTTTTTAATCAGCATTATAATTACACAGATCGATTATTCTAATGTTTGTTAGGTTAACATATACTGTTAAGAATATAATCTATTTGCAGAGTATTCATATTTGACAATAGCATTTTATGGAATTCACATATATTTTCTTCGAAAATAATGAGTGTAAGTTTAAATCGAGATTTTTTTTTAGCGCTGTCAGGCTCTAGCAACTGGAGATAGAGATATTATTGATCTAGCAGAGACAGAATAGAACGGATATATAGAAATGTATGAGCTAATTGATTTCTAAGTTTATACTAAACTCAACAGTATATGTCAAAGTTCGTTGAGAGAAAAAAGAAGTGTGTTCGGAAGTTTACTCAATGATTAAATCAATGTGTATAGTGGGCTAATATGAGGATTGAATGGATAAAACGAAGAGTAAAATGATATTTGTCGCTACCAATGGTATATATGTTACATATTATCATAAGTAGAAGAGAATTGGTAGAATAAGAATTCTAAATATAAAGATGTTCGAAATGATAAAATTTCAGAGTGCACGCGCGTATGAATTATAATTACAATTTTGATTTAGTCATTTATTTAATATTTATTTCAATAAACTATTTTAACCTCTCTAACAATATACTATAAATTTATAACAGTCAGAGTTTATCAGATGTATACTTTGCCTCTAATGGAGCTGCACTGACAAGCTTTTTCATGACGGCTTGGGTCATTTTTTATCTATTCGGCATTTGCACAGTGAAATGATTTCGCCCAAATTTAATCATATCGATATCATAATTAGCATCTGCATAACTTATTCTGGTGATTGACTTAACACCAAGTCTATTGGATTAATGTTCGATGATAGAGCATTAAATAAAATATTCAAATTAACTTTTATTAGCAAGCTGACAGGATTTTTTTTTAATGTACATATAATGATTGATTCGATGGAAATATTCATAAATTATTTAATTTTTTTTACATAAAACTTTTTCTTAATTCTTTTAAAATAAATACAATGATTTTTGTTTTTTTTTGAAATAAAAATAGAGATTTATGGATCGTCAAAGAGAAGCTGCTTATGGTGATACGTTTGATCAACAATTTCAAACAAGACGTCCAACACGTATTGATCTAGTACGACGACAAGGCGAAAAACAATTACGAAAAGTAAAATTTTTTTTTTTTTTTTTTTTGTTTTTCTGAAATACATATTTTGTATTTATTAAAATAGATGCGTGAACAAATATCAGCTCGTTTTGCACTTACATCAACTCGGAAATCTTTTAATGAAATGGTTGTTGAAGAGAATATACCTGATATACAGTAAGATTAATAATAAAAGTAAC